TATCCAGAATGTCACTTTTGCATTTCTTGTAATGGAATGTTTTGATTTCTCCCTTCACAACCATGCCTAGCTTTAAGAATGAAGAAGTCAAACTCTTAGGAAAAGAATGAAGCCTTTAACGGCGTTAAGAATAGGAGAATTTACACTTTCCAGTTCAAGTTTTGCCTTGCTGATCCAAGTGGTTTCAGTGCAGAACAGAAACCTCCAGCTTGTCACTTCAGTCCAGATCATAGTACCTCTAATTTACCAATTTATTTTTTCCCTTAAATTGTCTTTGTAAATTTCTACTAATAGTACTGTATCATCATATATGGTCATTGATGTATAATCATACTGCAGATTCTCTGGGACTTCATTCTTCACAGAATTCTTTCTGCTCTCAGGAATTAATCATTGAGCAGATTTGTTATACGAATGACTCAGCTGCAGCCATTACCTGCAGTCTGATTGAAGCACCGTCATCAAAAGAGTCATGCCATGCATTCTCTAAAGAGATACTAGGCGTGGTTGCATTGCTTGGATTTACTGAAACCAATGAGCTTAGTAGGTTCGTGCTCGGTTTCATTTCTTTTTTTGTCCAACTATCCAATTACGTGTAGAAATTGATTTCTCCGTTGTTTTTTATCTTCTCGCTGTTAGGATGTTAGCAGAGTACCTCGGTGAGAAGCAAATGCTTGCGGTGGTTTGCAAAGCACATGCTCCTGTTGGTGCCACACAGATGCATGCGAAGAAGCACGGGCACTTGAATGGTTCAGATTCTCTGTGTGCATTAGCCAATCATCTTGGAATCTCTATTAAGGGAGGATACGATATCATATGCCTCGACGATATAAGGTGGGTCTGCAATGGGAAATACATAAAAATGCACACATTTTTAATTATTTAAAAAAGTTTCAACTTTCAAGATTATATTCATGAAGCTGGAGTTGTTATCAGGCCTTACACTGGTGAGATGAGTTATGATCCCCAAAGAAAGCTAGCATTACCCAATCCTACATTACCAAATGGCGAGAGTCCTCCCGGGTTTTTAGGCTATGCTGTGAATATGATACACATATCTGCAAATCATCTGCACTACAGAACTGCCTCTGGTCATGGTCTTCGTGAGACACTGTTTTATCGTCTACTAGGGGATCTCCAAGTCTATTCAAATAGAGATTTCCTCATCATGGCTAGTTCTTGCATCCATAGCGCTCCCGCTATTTCCTTGGATGGGGTTATCATCAGAGGAAACGGCATCACTTCCCTCGTATTATTAGGGTACGTATATATGTGTATCACCACCACATTGTCAAGGAGTTTCATTTTCTTAAACCATTGGTTCAGTCGTCTACTCGTGGTTTAATATGTTCGTTTCGTTTGTCTTCTTCAGGGATCCACTGGTCAGGTTTCCTGTCATCTCAAGGGAGCAGCAACCGGAGACTGTTAATCTAGACGTGTTAAATCTTCTGGATTCTAAGAAGATGGAGCTGAGGGAGGTTCAACTTAATTTGGATGATAAAAGAAGGGTTTTTGTGGAGCTCAAGGAAAAGTTTAGCAGCTATCGTAATAAATACTTGAAGTTTTGCTCAAGGGACAATTCACCAGACGTTGAACCGTAGATGAGATTAAATGAGAAAGCAATGCAGAGTATGAAACCGCACATATTAGAGGGGTGGCGTTGAAGGATGGAGATGTAAATTGTATAAAATGTTCGAAGAATATTAAAAATTGTGTAATTTTTAAAACGTTTGAAGTACTACGTTTTAAACAAAGAGTAATATAAGCATCTTAAAAAAATACAGAATTATGCAAGTTTTAAAACGTGTGAAGTATATAATGTAAAGAAAAAAATTAAAAAATGTTTTCAAAAAATTTAAAAAAATATGAACGCACCGATCGTGAAATCCTTGAAGTTGTCAATATATATAGACTTGGGCTGGAGTAACCTCTTCGTCCTCGGTCCCCATTGTCATGCCCGGCTTTTTTGTTTTTCTCCGGCACATTCTTATGTTTTCTCCTTTTTTCATATACTTTTCTTCTTCTTCAATTTATTTTCTTTTCTTTTAATTTTAATTTAAATAAAAGAAACTTTATAAAATTAATTTTTTTAAATCATTAAGAGAAAGATAATTAAAAACTAGAAAATGTGAAATAAACTTCAGTGTAAAAAAATAAAAAATTTTCATTGATTTATATATCATGAGAATGAACCAATAAGAATCTATTTTGTATAAAATAAAACACAATCTTTTTATTATTAAATCATTGTGTAGTATAAAAATTGTTTTTAAAAAGAACTTTATAAATTTTGTGGATTTCTAAAAAAGATCATCAAAAATAGTTATGAAAGAATAGAAAAAAATGAAGAATAATAAAGAGGGTGTTGGTGCATATTTTCAAAATCATAGGGGGCAACGGCACAATTTATTTACTATTAAAGGGTATTTTAGTCAAGAGGGGCATTGACGGGCAACAATGTAAATTATGAAACTATAAGAGTGATGGTGCACATTTAGTAAACGACAGGGTATTGACGCATTAAACTGATTTATACGGAGTATATAATCTTATATCCGTGTATACTATTTTATCAAATTATATCATAACATCGGAGCTAAGGCTCCAAACCCTAGAACCCTTTTTTTTAATCGAGCTTAACTGCTGGTCCTTCTCCTTCATCGACAGTGACCGCGATTATGGCATCCATGTCTGATCCTCTTGCTTCCCTTCCTTCCGGGGTCAAACTTCTACTTCGTAATATCCATAATCCGGTCCTTGAAAAACTCACAAATTCAAACTATCTTGCATGGTCTCTCAATGTCAGGACTGCCCTTGATGCCAATCTCCAAGGATGGCAAGGTAAACCCTAATATGGAATATCGTACGTGGTTTGTGATTGACACCCAAATCCGTGCATGTCTTCCTATTGTTATAAGCCCCACTTTTCACAAACAGGCACGAAGTTTTACCTTTGCTAATCTCTGGAATGCTCTTGCGGCTTGATCTAATTCGGTGTCCACAGCTCATATTTATCAACTTTGAGACAAACTTTACATGCTTCGCAAAGGTACCAAAATCATGACTCAATATCTCGATGAAGTTGCTACTATTCTCACAGATTTGGATGCTCTCGATGAAGTTATCTCTTAAAGAGATGTGGTAAATGCTGTTATTCGAGGTCTTCCTCCTGAATACTCCTCTTTCAAGTAGAACATTTGGAAGAACAACGAGAACATCAGTCTAAATCAACTTTCTGGATGGCTCACCTCTAAAGAAATCAACCTTGAAATTGAGAATAAATAGAGTCTAGCTGATTCAGCGTCTGAGAGTACACATACAGCCCTATTCACTACCAACGGTCGAGGCCGCGGTCAAGGAAGACCTGACGGTCGATCGTTCTATGGGCGCGAGGCTGCCCCAGGCCGCGGTGGTCAAGGCAACAGAAGAGGGGGAGGCCGCGATCCTTTGTAGGATCTTCCCGTTTGCCAAATCTGTGCGAAGCGTGGCCATTCTGCTGCTAACTGCTGGTACCAGAATGATGGCTCTTATATTGTGAGCAACTCTGCCAAAACATCTCGTTCTATGCATGCCACTACGAGCGGTCACTTTGGTGATTGGTATCTTGATACAGATGCCAACACTAATGTTACACATGATCTCTCACAGCTGCAATCTTCGACTACCTATCATGATACTGAAACTAGCACTGTAGGTAATGGTTATAATTTACCTATCACCCATACTGGATCAAGATCTATTCATACACCACATGGTAAATATCACCTTCCATCTCTTAATCATGTTCCTTACCTTACCTCAAACTTACTCTCAGTTCATCGTTTCACCAAAGCTAATAACTGTACTCTTGTATTTAATGCCAATAAATTTCAGATAGTGGACAACGTTACGAATAAAGTGCAGTACACGGGCCCTTGTGAGCATGGTCTATACACACTTCATTCTAAGCCCATCCCAATTGTGTGTCAAGCAGTTACAATGTCCACCTAGCATTGTAGACTCGGTCACCAAGCTCCTGCTATTGCCAAGTCTATTCGGTCAACTTTAGGTTTTAAATTCTTTGATTAATTACATTGTGAGTCTTGTCATGTGTCTAAGTCTTTTCATTTACCGTTTGAGTTGTCTGAACATAAGACAAATGCGCCATTTCAATTAATTCATTCTGATGTTTGCGGACCAACTTCTATTCCTTCTGTTTGTGGCTTTTGGTTTTATATTTATTTTATTGATGACTTCAACAAATTTACTTGGATTTATCCACTTAAACACAAGTCTAAGGCGTAATCAATTTTCATTAGCTTTGAAAAAATGATTAAAACTCATTTTAATTTAAACATTCAGATTTTTCGAAGTGATAATGAAATAGAACTTTTTAATACAGCTTTTGGCCCCATTCTCCAAAACCCAGGTATTCTGCATCACACAGCTTTTGTAGAGATAAAACTAAAATACAGATTATATGTGTGGTCTTGACTAAAGACCAGAGTACACACTCAAATCGAGATTTAACAAAGAATTATTGATTTGAACTCTCGCAATGATTTATTGAAATAAATCATTATATTGAATAATACGAACTGAATTTGAGAGCCTTTTTTTAAAAATTCAACTAAAATGATTTTGACTCTAACAAGTTAAACATCTGAAAATATGATGTCAGAAAAAGTATTTCAAGTAAATAAAAAATATTAATTTGCGTAGAGTCTAACTCTCTGATCGAAACGGTACAATCAGATTGTAATTCGGAGAAAGTTGGACCAAAATCACCGCCTAAAATCACCGCCTAAGCAGGACCACAGAATGAGAGGATTTGGTATGCCATTTTCTTCACCTCAACTCCTATATAAGGAGATCTAACTCTCCCTATTCTGGACAAAAATATCTTTAAAATATTAGGTGAATAACTCCGCTACCCCCGATGATATGGTTTTGAAAATGGGCACCAATGCCCCTCTTGTTTTTCATTATTGTTTGTCTTTTTTCTTTTCTTTTTTTCATAGAGAGAAGAAAAATATTTGTATGTGAAATAATGAATTGTTTTTTCAAACCTATATTTTAATACAAATTTAAAAAAATGTTTTTGTTTGAAATAAGGAATTTAACACATACTTAGTTTGTCAAATTCAATATTTTTGTTTTCTATCTAAAAAAGTTTTTATCATTTAGAATATGTTGGGACTAAAAGAATATTTTGTAATATCTTTTTAATATATAGTTAATTATGTATTAATTAAATTTTTTGGACGAATGTGCAAAAGATTTCCATCACAACATCATTTTCCATATTCTAAAAAAATCATATGCTTAATTTTTCATATAATACTTGAAGAATATTTTAGTCTAGAAGATCATTGGCATAACAATATCAGAACTATGAGGAATAATAATGTAAACTTTGATATAGTAGGAAGTAACGATGTACGGAGTATATTTATAAAACTACAGGGGTGATGGTGCAATAAACTATTTTCAAAATATTGGGAACTGTTTGACCACATAATTCAGTTTGCTTTTTTATCTCTCTAAACATGTAGAAGCTGTGACCACGCTACCCCAAAAAACATTTCATTTTGATGTAAAATATCCTGAGTATTTGTCTAGTTTTGACTTTTTTCAGTCAATTATTTTCAACCTTTGACTTATACTTAAATAAAAATATTTATTCTATATTAATTAGATAAAATAATATTTTGAAAATATTTGATATAATAAATCCAATAAAACTATATTTGTATCAATATCTAATAATATTTTTATTTAATTTTAGGTCAAAGTTAAAAATTCTGATAAAAAAAAATTAAAAATAGATAAATACTTATTGACAGATGAAGTAGTAATTTTGAAGAGCCATGCTAGGGGTACATATTTGGTGTACCCCAATTATATACCACATGCTTTTCCACCACACATCCTTATTTGATTTTTATTTATTTATTTTTTGAGTTTCTTGCCAATTATTGTGGACAAGGAGGGAGTGAGGAATATTTGGGGTAGACTTTAGTGTACCCTGACATTTTTCAATTTTGAACTTGAGACCACAATCACCACAATACTCCAAAACCGGCAAAACGCATGTGACCACGCACTTTATCTAAAAACAATTAAAATAAATAAATATATAATTAAAATTCACGTGAACCCACTGTTTGAATAGAATTATTTTTGTTGTTTTTCACTTGGACCATACTACACTTATACCAAAAATTGTACTCTATTTGTACACCGTGATTATACACAAATATTTTGATGGTATATATCGACACAAGTTTTGATGCGTTAACAAAAATTTACACGGATACAAAGTGTTGGTGCGTTACCAAAAATTAGTTTTACACTAACACAAAATGTTGGTGCAAACCTACGATATATAAATGGGGTACAAAAATTGAGGTACAAATAGCTTTATCCAATTGTTTTTGTTTTCTTCTTTACATGTGCCTCGCTAGGAATTATTTTTGTTCTTGTTTTACCTTTTTTGTGTTGTTTATTTAAATGTGCCTCATTTACCCATAAGTTTATACTTCCACTTACAAATTTACACCAGCGCGTTGCCGACAAGTATTTATTATTATTATTATTATAATTATTATAACCATATTCACATTAATTATTATTATTATATTACCATTTATATGCATACACTTTTGTTACCATATACAAATAATAATATCATTCTTTTACACGGTCATAATATTATTTACTTACATTTATAATTATTATTA